CCCCAAAACCCCAAAACCCCAAAACCCCTATTTAGAGAAGACAGATTGTATTTGACATATGCAATCAGACTTGGTACATATAATAATGTATTAACGAATTCTACTGCTCCTAGAGCTTCTTGAGCTTCTCATGGATTTTCTCTCTTCTTCATTAAATGCTGTAATTTTTCAATCAAGCATCTTTTCTCATATGATCACAAGTTTGTTAAAATATTTAGTATCTGATGGGTTCTCTAGTCTTGGTGGTGATATTTTGCTACAATTTAGCATTAGAAAAGTTATTAAAAGGGAAATAATTATGAAATACCTTCTTCTACTACTTCCTTTTCTCGAACTCTTTCTCCTTGAGTTATATCTTGCTCTTTGCTGATATTTCCCTGTTTTTAAGTGATTCTTGTAATCATCAACAAGATCGTTGAGGTCATCTAGATCTTGACTTATCATATCCTCTCTAGAATTCTTTTTTATGGTAGTGAAGTTTCAACTATGAAATTGATCAATTGTATCCTTAGATTCTATTAAAAAATTAGATATTTAATAACAGCTCTTACCATCTTCGTTATCAAAGTTATTGTTCAATAAGACACTTTCATGTGTCTCTTCATCAAACTGACTTGATGCTTCATATCAAAGATTCTGGATATAAATGACATCTCCTTCTTTGACGAATCTGCTAAAGATGAAAGAATTTGAATGAATATTCACACTAACAATGGTTAAGCAGCTCGTAATCATTATGAAGCTTCTTAATTCTTTTTCTTTTGCAGAATTTCTTGGCTCAGCTCATTCGAATATCTTTACAACAACTCCACTAACATTCACAAATTTAGAAAGAGGGTATTCAAATCGATTATCAGTGTTCTTGTGGAATGTGGTGATATTACTTCTAAATTTAGGATAATACTCAAAGACTTCAATCCCATCAATATCTTCTGAATCGTCGGTTAATTCAACTTTGGTCAAGTTCGAATTTCTTCCAGCCTTGAAAACTAAGTGGTAAGGATAGAATTTTGCACCAAAATCATCTGGAATTAAGTAGTTCAAATTTAGCACATCTCCTGACTTAATCTCAGAAGTTCTTTCTTCTGACCAATCTGAGATTATGAGAAGCATGATCTCAACTTCTTCTTCTGAAGCTTGAAAGTCTTTAAGAAAAACACCGAAGCTAATTCTCACTGCATCAAATTTGTTTTCTTCTTTTACCTTCTCTTCAATCTTTTGTATGTTAATGTCTTCTTTTAATAGCATATTTTCTTCAAAAGATTGCGCTTCTTCTTGGATCTTAGAGTAAATATCTGACTGGAGGAATTCATAAGTATCTCGAGTATAAGAACTCTTGATTCCAAAATAGAAAATAGGTAAAACTTCAACAACAGTTGCTTTAATATTACAAGTAGCTCCTCCTTGCTGTTCAATCCAATATAGAGATTTATACAAAGGAGCTTCTCACTCGCCTATCCTGTCACCTTTATCAATGACTACACAGGAGTTGTAACATAGTTTAAAAGTATCATGACTTTGAGCATTAACTATTGGGTTTGCATACTCTTGTGCATTTTCAATCGGAATATCACAAGGAATAATATTTTGGCATTTTATTTTTGTTCCTAATTTGAAACTTCCATCATGTATCTTTAAAAGGAGATACTCATCATCAGAATAATTATTTTGGCTTCAAAACTATATTAATAGAATAGAAGTAATCTGATAAGCGAACGATGCTCATTTCTTCATTTCAGTGTTGAATATCAATTATCCACAAGTTCATGCATTTTGATATTGGCTCATCTCTAACAAGGCATCTTAAGAGAACTAGTTCTCTTAAATTACCTCTGTCCATTTCATTTATGTATCTGAGATAGATCTGAGTTAGAACAAACTTGAGTTCAAGAGTTTGTTTAAGCCGAAATACATGTTGAAGTTGATTTATTACCCAATCCTGAGTCAGACTATCCTCATATTCATATTCTTCAAGTGATTGAATGATAACCTTGACAAGTTCTCCATTTGCTAATTTCTCTTTAAGAAGTAAATACTAAAAATAGTTACCTTTCCCTTGGCAAATCAAGCAATTTGTAACTACATTTTCTGTCTTAAATTGATTAAATCTAAACTAATTATCTGAATTCCTTACTCTGAACAGCATAAGCATTTGACTTCTAATTTCTGTTCTGATAATAAAGGTGTTTCATAATCAAATTCAGGATGCTTTAATATTATTTCATTCTCTTTTCAGGATGAAACTATAGCCTTCAAGTCTTTTATTTTAAAAATATTTACAACTGCTTCTGATTCATGTTTGGATGAATTACTTCTCCTTTCTTCAGAAATAGAGTCATGTTCTAGATCAATTACTTCCATATTCCGCCTTTTACCTAAAAGAGCGAACCCTACATCTTCGTTTAATGTTGGTTTTTCATTGAAATTAAAATTCATCTGCTTTTTACTCTTTTTTCTGCTCTTTGATATCATTTTAGACATATTATTTGATGATTTAGCATCTGAGATGTCACTCTTCAGCTTAGAAGGAGGCTTTTCTGCCACTTTATCAGCATCTTGAAGATCATTTAGATCAATCTCACCATCATAAGGTTTGAGATCATCATCAATTTCATCAAAAAGTTTGCTTACTTTTTCCATATGTATAGCTTTTGCTCTCATCCTGATAGTTCCTCCTCCTATTCTGAAATCGCTTTCAACTCTTGCTGGAGTATCAGCTTCTATTTTAAAAGTGGTGCTTCCTTTAACAGCGGATACCTTTCCAGGATCGAGGTCAATAGGCTGGGTAGTAAATTCATCAGACTTCAGCATTTTCTTATATTTTTCCTTCATTAGAGTTTGCTCATGTTCATCCCTTCTGAAATTAATATCTTTATTTATGAGATTTGTTTTTAGCTTTCACTGGTGTGACACATGACATTGAAGGATTTAGGATTTTATCTTTTTGTATTGCTCCTCAGCCACAACTTCAATTCATAAGTTTGTAGATCAGCTCCTCGATCATCTTATTTTTATGCCTGTTCTCATTCTGAAGCTCTATTATCCTGTTTTCATTGTTTTCAATGCATAGTTTCATCATCTTAAGAGCGAGACTATCAACTTCTGTTTTATCAACTAAATCCTTCTGTTTGCTTAGACCAGATCTACTTTCTGATTCCTCTTTAACACTACTAAGTTTATTGAAGTCTCCTGGAGGAGGAAGATATTTTCTCTTTATTGGAGGAATGAATTCTTTCTGATCTCCCTTTCCTTTGTTTTCTTCTAGTCTTTGTTCTCTTGAATCTCTTTGAAATTTTGCTTGCATTTTAATTTTTTCATCTTGAGTTGGAGTCATGAGATCATACAGCAACTCTGAGTCGATATCTGATCCGTTTTCATCCTCCTTCAGTCTTTTGCTAACACTCATTATTTTTCCGCGTAATTATTTATCCAATATATCTTTTATTTATCGGGGTTTTGGGGTTTTGGGGTTTTGGGGTTTTGGGG